TTTTTTTTTTCAAAAACTCACACAAAATGAAAGACCAATAGACACGAAAAACGATGAGAAATGGTGATAGGAACTCGGATTGGAATGGTAGGTAATGCGGAGAAAGAAATGGATGGGATTTCAGAGAAGCGAGATAGGGTTTTACAGATTTTGAAGAGAGGAATTGTGAGTTGAGAGGGAACGCATCAAAAGAGGAAGAGGAGTCTCTGCATAACTGCTACTAAAGTACTACTACTCCAGCCTAGTGTGTAAAGTCTAATATGAGTTGTTTTTTTTTTTTTGTTTTTTGTTTTTTTTGGGTACCAGCCACGGTATCTGGAACTATGCTCCGACTAATACGTTGGTCGACTAGGGTCGCACACCTTGCAGTGGTGGGTGAGTCTCCCAATAAGGTTTTTATGCATTCACAAGGACTCGAACCCAAGACCTTGATTAAGGGACATCAAACTGCTTACCACTTGAGTCAACCCTGTTAGTTTATATTAAACATAAAAAATTAAATGATTTTTTTTATATATATATAATTGGATAAATTTAGTAAATTACGCTGCGATGCAACCATGCATATAATCTGCAAACATTTAACAAATTAAATTGGTTCTTGTGTTTAGAGAACACAATTGAGTTGATTTTAAAACTTATTGAGCTTGTTATTATTGTATTTCAAACTATTTTTTATATATCTTTACCATTTTTTTATACTTTATTTTTTTAAATAAAATAATTGCACGATTTCATACAACTATCATTCTCCAAAAGTTGTTCAACGTCCTAGAATTTATCGCGCCACATGCTTGCAATAGCTTGGGCTAGTAGTCGCTGACCACATGCAACGGTGGTGCCGGCAACATGCCTGCCCAGCACAGTTCCTGCACAGTTGCATGTTCGTGCCTTTGTTTTTGCATTGTTTAAAAAAAAACAAGTTCGTGTTTATTTTGTTTAGGCACATTTTTTCGGCTCAATAAATGTTTGAAAATTAATTCTAGTGTGTTCGGGAGACTAAGTAGGCATTGCACTCACAAGCACTATCAGTAAATCTCAATCAGACAACTGACGCAACAAAAGTAGACATGGTTAAATCGATGTCACTATATATGTGGTACATATCTCCACCCAATGAGTAACAAATGTCAAGATAAAACATAAATACAAAAATAAAAATGAACACTTGTCACCCATTCGGTGGAAATGGGTGTCACCCTTAGAGCATCTCCAATGCTCTAATGTTGTTATAGAATTTTTTTTGACAAATGTCAAAAAATTAAATAGATTGTGAACCATGTAGGACAAATATTGAGTTCACAACTATTAAATTAAAAAATCGTCTCCAATGCACAATATTGTCTATTTAAAATATTATTTACTTGTCAAATAATAAAATATTAATATAAATTAATAAAATTAAATAAATAATTAAATGGTTTGAAGATGGTAATAATAATTATCTCTCCTCCTCATTGGCTAATTAGAATGTGGAATAGAATGTGGATGAACCACATTCTTCTCTACATTGTGGACATTAATTATGTCCACATCATCACAACATTTGTGATCACATTGTACATTGAAGGATGAAAAATTGTGATATTAATAAATGTGTTGATGTGGACTGTAATTTACCACTACAACATTGAGCATTGGAGATGCTCTTATAGGGTGACATTGAGATGTTGTTAGTGGTCTAGACTCTAGCCTATTTTAACAAGTTTAACTATAGGAAAAAGGGTGACTTCTTTAAAAATCCCCAAGTCCCTTTTCAAATTCCTGTTCAGTCACTCCCCCTTATTTGTTTCCTTTTAACTACCTACCCCCTTAATCAAGTTCCACTTAAATCCCTCCCATTAAAATAAATCACAAAAAAATTGAAATGTAACATCATCCCACTATCTACTAATTTTGACACATTATTTTATTATTTTTGTTTACCTAAAAGTAACTTCTTCCCCAATCTTCATCCTCACTCTCCTCTTCTCTTCTCCCATGTTTTTCTTCTTCATCTC